CTGTAGCTTAAACGGCTTGATGGCTATTGCCGTTTGCAGTGACCTTACATTCCTCTTAATTCTGACACTGTATAATAAATATTAAAATCACCTTCTGCTTGTAAATTTTAAGTAAATATTTTTACGCAGTCGAGTTTTTGTTTTTTACTCAATAAATTACGTTGTTATGGGGCGTGGTTAATTGCCATACGTAGGTATACTGAAGTTTAAAAGTTGTGTGTTTATTGGTACAATAACAAATAAATATATTAAAATTTACATTTCTTTAACTTAAAAGGCATAATCGTTATTTTATATTTTTTCTATACATAGAGTGCCAGGATTATAAATTTTAAGAAAGCAGTACTGACAAACTGGTGATAAATATGAGCATTTAAGTTTTCTTCTCAGAAAGTTGAGGTAGTGCTAATTTCCTTGTGTAGATAAATGAGTTGCCGATAGGAATTAAGGTTATTGTATCTGATAGTGGTGCTTTATACATGTACCTACACATTGTGGAAAACATTGTAACATATAAAATACGCGGTATATTTTAATTTCACAACATGTTACACTTATCATCACCTATTTATATTAGTAGAAACAACATATTTACTTTCATATAAAGTCATTCACTTGCAATATGTGCTTTTAAGAAATTATACAAGTATACATATGTGTAAATAATGCCGTGTTAATCCTATTTACTTAATTCTTAACTAGATCATCGACCACTGGTTGCAAAGGTCTTTTTAAATTATATTCCCTCTGAAAAAGGTTTAAATCCGTGTACTTATCATACATATTACATTTTGACGCATAGCGTAGTGGTTTAAGCGTCACCTCATCCACCACGTGAAGGTCGGTCCCCAGAACACTCGAGTAGGAATACTCTGAGTGTTGTGGGTTAGATCCCCAGATGGGTCAACAGTTTGTGTTATTCACAAATTGTGAGTCTGGGTGTTCTTTGTGTCCGTATCAAATACGTTAGAAAAGTCACTACGGACTTAGGATATATTCCTAGTGAGGAAGTTGTCTTAAAAAAAATATTAACGGATCTTTTACGCAATAGTCAACGTTTAAGTAATATGTAGTTGTTTGCGATTACTGTTATAAAAGCTACATAAGTCCTAATGGATTATTGTGCGCACACAATTTAGTCATCGTTTAATGTCATGGTGCTGTGACTGAAGGTCAACCATCCATTATCATAAAGCATTTAAATATTCTATTCACGGCGATGTATGCTAAATCCAGTATTAATACGTCAAGTTCTGTTTATGTGTAGAAGATCTTGACATTTCATGGACCCACTTAATATTTGGGGCCAATGGTACGCACACAGACTTGGCTCGACGAAACGTTTATTTTTATTTGGACATGAATTAACTTATGACCTTAAAAAGACTCATCAATGACCTTGAATAGGAGATTAGTAGAGCTTAACCTTTAAATATGAAAAACACTAAGCTTCGGCCCGCGGCATTTTCGTCGATTTGATAAGTATCTCTGACTATAATCTATTTGTATGAATTTTTTTATCCAAATACGTTAAGCGATTTTGGTGAAAAAAAAAAGCAAACAACTATCAAACCTTTCACAGTTTCGGAAGCTGATTTTATTAGAATAATTATAACTAGAATAGATAGCCTGAAATGTAAAAAATATTTACACAATTATTGTGAATGTTTTTATAATCAGAAACCAAAACACTCACTGCCTAAATTTAAATCTTTGAATTTGAATTTAAATTTACATTTTTTGTAAAACTACTCGTATGATGAATGATGAACACAATGAGTGTCAATTATCAGTGAGAGTCAATTATTGTTAGTTTAATAAATATGTAAAACATCTAAGATAAGATGGATATCTTATCAAGCACTGCCACGGAAATAAATATTTAACTTATTAGTCACTTTAAATATTTAGCATACTTTATGGTTGTTATGTCAAAAAATCTACTATTAAGATACAATAGGCAAGCGAATATTTAAATATTTTACCCCTCCCACGTCTTTACTTAAACGGTTTTTGTAAAGGCAGAAACTACAACAACATCAACACAAAAAAAAGGTCTTTCATAATGGAGGTTTTTGTTTTTTTTTTTATGATTTAAGAGGAAAACGGGCAGTCGAGTCACCTGATGGTAAATGAATACCGTCGCCCATGTACACATGCAACTTGAGTGGAATAATGCATTATAGTCCACCCAATTTAAACACCGGTTTTCTGTGAGGCCGTGGCCACGCCGGTCGAGTGGGCCCATTTGTGCAGAGAAGCATAGCCCTCCCACTATTAAAATATTTTATTAAAATGCAACATATATAAATAATATACAGATTCATATGATGAAATAATCATATTTAAGATTTAACCATTATATCGATTTCGAGTTGTCGGAGTAACAACACTCTCTTTTAGTGATCGTAATTTTTCTAATGATCATAATGTGGATGCCATGGTTTCTAAGAATGCGTAAGTAGGTTGTATAATCGTATGTAGCATTAACCTGATCTATAGATGAATTTATAATAACTTAACATATCTTACACACGGCAGTCTGTTCCCAAACTAGTCAGAGCCTGAACTATTAAACACATGACTTAGCTTTAGGCAGACCTATTACTAAGGTACTACATTAATCACCGACCTTCAACGTTTTATTAAGTAGTGCTGATAATCTTGGTACCTTATATATAAGTCTTTGTCTGCATTAGACACATTGGATAGTGTTGTACATCTAAAAAAAATTAAGAAGATAGGATGTGTGTAAGTATGTATAGATTTATTGATTTTATTTCTGTGTATCTGTTTACACAGACTACATTATAAGTACTATTGTGAATGTGTTGCTGGTTAGAATTGTACATGATTTTTTTACTTTTTTTATTATTAGATTTTTGTCGATATAAAATAACGTGTTTTGCTGGTAATATGTTATGGTTTTTGTACACTTACACATATTTTTTTTGTACTCTTATAACATTTGTACATATTAAACTAATGTGCAAAAAAATGTCGGGTGTACAGTTTATTCTATTGTATTCTGAGATAGTTTAAACGTGATGAAGTTTGAAAGGATTTTGTCTATACATTCCTTTGATCAATATTCCACCAAATGCACATAGAATTGAGTACGTAATACATTTGGCGTGTTAAATTAGGACAAGGCCAGTACTTTTCGTTACTTAAACAGAGGCCCTAGTGCGAATTTATTTTACATCAACTCGCAATTGGCCCGCACTGATCTTTTCGACAATCGCAACGCCGAACGAGTTCATGTGAAATACACTCGCACTAGGCCCTCAGTAGTTAGTGCGTGAATGCATCGACCAGTGAACGGACCTTTGCATTCACCAAGAGAATGATTACGTCTGATAAGCCGGAAATTATTGAACAGGTTCTCGGTTTTGAAAGGTGTTACTTGTATTACGTATACAGTTTCAATATATTATGAAATCTATTTCACTATGCTAATTTTGATAATGATAAACATGGCATGTTAAACAGGATAAGTATCAAGTTTGTATCTGTGTCAGTGGTTTAATTTTAACATTATATAATTTAATTTGCCGTCAAATTTTCGATAGGGATTACTAATGCGTAATACTAAAATAGTGTCAATACCATAAATGAAAATGTAAGGTTTCTGGTAATGTGTTATTTGTATTTTAAGTTTTATGTGCATATTTTTAAAGGTAACCGGGTAGGAAGGTAAAACTTCTAGCTATAAGTAACACCTTCCTACCCGCTTACCTTTTCGGTGGGAAGTAGTTACATCTACTTACGTACCTAACATTCCACCCTATCAACCTGCTTAGCCACTATGTAACCAATAAAATTGGTGTACAATAAGAAGAAGAAGAAGTTACACCTTCTGTAAAATAAAACTTCACTACACTGTTGACTATCTGCAGTTTTAAGTATAAGTACAGTGATGAAGAGATAAGTTAATAACATGAAATGTCTCGTTTTGCTGTACCGACACAGATGAACATTAAGGTCGGATATTTACCGAGGAATGCCGCGGTCAGAGAAATGTAGCATCTAAACAGTTAGGTCTACTTTTTACCTATCACTTCTAAGCGTGACGATACAGAAGCAAAGACCATTTGTGTAATGGAGCGTTTAATTCGTAATAAATAGCATACAGACTTGAGAAGAAAAACATTCGAAACTAAAATTCATTACGACACGGTCAGTATTGGTTGCATTTCATGCATGCTGCAATTGTATATGCAAATGAGACAGTATACTTGTGTTTGTTTCAATTTACATAACGACAGCTTTAATGTGTACTTAATTAATATACTTTGTACAACGCCTTCGATGTGAACACGGTAGCACAGTAGCTGTGCATGTTTCTTTTATACCCAGCTCTGAAATACCGGTTAACCTTCACAGGTTCTGTGCTGTCACAATAGTACATTTCCAACCTTATACCCTCTCGTATAAACCTTTCGAGTCTACTCACAAACACGATTTATTCTTTTGTTTACCTGATTTTTGTATAAAAAAATATCTGTAACATATTTTTAGCGAAAAGAGTTAAATATTTTGGATGGATTCTTCTTCAGAGTATAACAAAAGCATGAAAATATTGGGTGTGAAACTTTCGTTTGTCAATCGAGTATGTTTTATTAGTCGTGGACAAAACAGTTTATCAATAAGTAACTTATACCACACTCGGTTGCAACTATACAATATTTTTTGTATACTTTTGCTAAACATTGCAGGTCACGTGATGAATAATCATCATGTCAGTATGTATGTAAAATAAAGTAGTAAGAATTAAACACTTTTAAAAGAAAGTTGTGAAAAGTCAAAAATAGAGTAGCAAAATAGTTAACATGTCAAACTGATGATATCAATGAATGTGATACAAAATGCCTGAAACAATTACTTAAAAATAACAAAAATTTAAAGACGTTTTAATATAATAGACAAAAAACAAAGAAAGAGCGTCTGTTTATCTTACGGGCTACCTGCACTTAAGCTTTTTTAAAACAATATCTTTATTATATAAGTATTGTTTGATTCACGTCCGTCTGTAGATCTGGAACCGACACCACATTATTGTTTTTAAACTTCTATTATAGATAACAAGCGATTTCCAAACGTCTTTTGCAGGTACGTGGATGTATTTTATGTTTTACGGTATTGTACGTGTTCACACACAAAAACACCTAGGGTCTCAACTATGTCACGCCAGATAACAATAGCAGCAGCATTTTTACTTGTGATGTAGAATATATCAACCCTTTATTGTTATCTTGAGAGTTTAATGTTTCGATCGTAATATTAAAACTTCAAACAACAAATTATATAAGATTGTACAATTATTTATTAGTTATAGTAACAGTTTTAATCAATGCAGACGTAATTTATAATATTAATCAATATAAGAGAGCTTGGTTTTCATAGCAAATTAGTTTGTGATGTAAGAAGCGAGTAAATGAATGCGTTAGAAATAAAATAACCATTTATTATTTCTAACTATACTTTCTAAAAGTAACTAAAATTATTAGAGCTACGTTACATTTGAGGAAAGGTACAAGGAACAAATATTGAGTACCTATTGTGAAGAGTGAATAAGCTCATTTTAAAGATGTCAGCTGAATTCAGACCTTTATCTATGTCGAGTCTTAGAGAGAGAAAGTACTATAGGAGTGCGTCATTCATAAAACATAATTCTAGTTTTCGCTAATAGCGTGTGCCTTAAATTTTTTACTAAACTTAATTTTAAGAAATCTGTTCTTTAGGAGTTTTAATACAATAAGTCTTTATAGATTAGGTACTATGCATCGGTTTGGAAAACATGTGTGTTTGTTCGTAAAATACAAGTAACTATAATTATTTTAACATAAAAAAAAAAGATTGCATGAATTTCAAGCATCGTTGAAGAGCATTCATGCACCAGCTGTAATAGTAGTGGTAGTGTACTAGAATCAGATCATTTCATTATATCAGATAGGTGTTCAAAGCAAAGATTTTCAACAAGGTAATGACTTGTCTTTGTCACTTCCACAGTCCTCTCAATCTCATTAAGAAAATAGATTAAAAAGTTATCTTAGTTTAGTTATAATATTGGTAGTTTTAAAACTCAACTCATACTAGAAGAGAATGGATTATTCAAACTCTATGTAAATATTTAAATGCATAACACGTACTCACACTATTTTCTAGGTAATAGCGTAACCTAGTTAAATAATTTGGATTGCTTTACAGTACTTGGCTCAATCTATACACAATCAACTTGATTAAAGTGCCAATTGATAAGCAAGCCATTATTGGCCAGCCAGCATTTGCTGTAATGATGACCACAAATATTTACTTAATTAAAAGCATTTTGATAATATAATTTCGTGAATTGAAAGGCTAATAGTGATCTTTATATTATTTAGAGTGCTCCTAAGCCCACAACTATGACAATAGAAATAAGTAGATTCGATTGAGCATACATTTGCAATAAGTGGGTATAAGTAGGATATAATAGGCGTTACCCGTATAATGCGGTTTATACAGCTGTCAACAATGGGAGGGGGGCATTTCTGTTCAGTCAGGATTTAGGACAAGCTCTAATTTGATTGGCAACTTGAAATCCTACGAAGTAGATCCAGAACCGAGGGGATTTATGACCCCTGGCATCCCGGTCGTTACTTAAGAACGAATTTTACTGTTCCCTGAGTACAGAAGACGATTAACAGTATGTTTATGTTCACAAGTATGAACATACATGTACATATTTGTTTATAATTAGAACATATTTTCTTTAAACCTAAACCCCACAAAATCGCCTCATAAATACATAGGTGGCGAATAAAATCTTTTATTTTATAAACCATATTCAAATATATCATGTTTTTCTACGTGTTTCGGTAAGCACAACAAGCAGTATGCAGTGCATTGAACGTGACATTAAAACGAATGAGCTGCACATTTCGATGGAATTGCACGACCATTACGTCAACATGGCATGTATTATTTAGAAATATAGTTAATACAGTTAAAACTACGGTGGCAATATTGCCATCAGTACTACCTTATTGCATGTACATAAAATTGTATTCCATAACATTGGACAGAGGTTGTATATCATATGTAATTGGTTTTGTTCTATATGACAGATGATTTATGTCCAGATATTTTATTATTGTGTGATTGTGGATAGAATAACTGTCGATCTCTTAACTTTAGCAGAAGACTAGCTTTGCTGAGAAGAACATTATCTTTTATTTATCTACGGTACATTAAGAAACAAGCAGGCGGTTTCAGCGAAGTACTCGTAATATCGAAGATTCGATGCAACATTGTTTAAGTTTAGAATAAAACGTAGGCCATAAAACCTTTAAGTCTTGCCAAGGTTTTGATTCCAGCAAAAGTTGAAAATGGTCATGTTTAGAGCTCGTAACGTACTTGGTACTCTTTATGTGTAACACTAAAATATTACCAAATATGTCAAGGTCTTCTTAGGTTAACGAAATTAGCAGATTGTATAATATTTAATACTGAAAACAAAACTACTTTTGAAAACGATGGGAAAATAGACATGCAATGCTTTAAGTAGGTTATACTCAATACTTTAACAATGATACCGGTTAAAAAGAACAATTTGCTGCGGTCACGGTCATAACGCAACTGAAGATATTTAAATAAATAAATGTTGGCAAAGTGGTCAAACGTCTTAGATGTCTTGTCTTCTAAATAACAACGGTATTATAGTAGATTAACTATAGTCGATTGCACGGATGGCGGAGTGTTTTAAGCGGTCGCCACGCCGCTTCCTACCACGCTGAGTACAACACTCTTAAAGGATAATAGTAAGCATCGATTGCCGTATTTATAAGTAAAATATTGAGCATTGTGCCACGTATAATATTATTACACACGCTCGCATAATATTGAACATGTTAACTAATAAAAAGTTTGTTACTATTCTATGGTTCTATTGTGTAATGATTATTTCATTTGATAACATAAACCATTGAACAAATGTATTGTTAAAAGTTGTTAATATACTTTAAATTATAAAGGTGTCAGTTACTAAATAACTTAATGATTTAATAACTAACTGAAATGTCTCATTTATGTTAATTAAGTGAAAATGACTTTCTAAATTGTAGAAGAGTCAGTCATACTATTAGTGAGACAAATAATTAGAGATGTTGTTATGTAACAAGCCTAGTATTAATTAAGTTTTAGGCTTACTTATTTAAATGTAATCATTCTTTTTTTTTTGGCTCGTTGTAAAGTCGTCATAAACGGTAATAAACATAACCATTATTTTACTTTCGTAGAAATTCTAAATTGCTTTACTAAATTCTCAAGAGTACCAATAGAAATGGTGGAACTATGTATTTTTATGAATGTTTCTCATGACCTTAAGCACTAGCTAAGAGACATAACGTAATAAAGAAATTCTAAAGTGGTATTAACTTAAAATAACGAGAAGGAAAACATTAACTTGTTAACAGGCATACGACTACGAGGCCGAATATAATTTTTGCGTTGTATGTGTTTGAAAATATATTTAATACATCGAAAGCGGGCGTTAATGGTTATGCTTTTCAGAAAAAGTTGAAAGACTCGGTGGGAGAGATCTAACATGAAGTAAAAACTTATCTCTCTTACTTACTCATACTACAACTATTACGAGGTTTGGAGGAGTGCTATTAATAGGTATGAATAACTTTTTATTAAAATAACACTTACCCTGAAGACTAGGTGCCGATGCGGGTGCGGCAGGCGGAGGTTGTAGTGGCGTGGTAGGCGGCCTGCGCCTCCTAGGGACATGTAGACCCGGTGCTGATGCTGCTCTTGTAGCCGTTCGGAAGCCAGGAGCTCTGTATCGGGCGGACTTGACCGGACCAGCCGGTACTGTGTTCGTACCCGTGATTGAGGGTAGCCGAGGAAGGGAACCGGCTCGTTGTTCTTCTTCCGACTGTAAGAAAAAGTACTTATTGTAGTTATCTATAATAATATGATCCCCGTCTCGGATACGATTGATTTTGATAACTTACATTCGATTATTCATTCGGATAACAATATGTAAGTTACAGTAAAAAGTTCGATAAGAAGAATTCAATTAGAGATTATTTCGAGTAAATAGATATATTGTGTTGTAGATATTAGAAGAACAACCCCTTTATGAGTGTTTAAAATTATGTTATTATTTTCTTTTTGCATCACATTCATTCATTTTTTATACAAATATAAATGAAACATGACCGAGAATAGATATTTAATAATAATAGTATGCTCCGGATTTTTGTAACATTTCACAGGATTTTTTTTTGGTTTATTTAGAGTGTATTAAGAATACTATACGTTTTTATCAATAAACTTTTTGATTTCTTTTACAAAGCTTCTTTTTCATTGAATATGTTGTGTTTATACAATATTATAATGTAAAAAAAAGGGTAGATACGCCGCCAACGCACAAAACGCATGCTGTGAATTGGTCCTAATTAGAACATCTGCGAGAGAGTTGTTTAAGTTGTTTATTTTAAGTTCCCTTGAAAATCTTAGGGATAAAAATTTAGTTTCATCAAGAGTCTTTAATAGTCCACTGCTGGACGTAGACCTCTATTTAGAAAGGAGGTTTTGGCCTACTATACCACGCTGGCCAGACGGGTTGGTATAGGGTTTGTGTCAAGTTTTCCTTCTCTCTGCAGTGCCGCTGTTCTGCGCACTTTTTGTCCCTTAGTCGCCTCTTACGACACCCACGGGATGAATAGGGGTGGTAACACTCTGTATTCTTAATCCGTCACAACACGGACGGAAAAATTTAGTTTCACTCTTTTATAAATACTCGTAAAGAATTCTAGTATCAGAATTATTGTATTTTTTATTAATTATTATTTAAGTTGTAAAAAAATATTGTCGGTTAGATCATTAACCCTTTATCAGTGATGAAAGAAACCACAAAGTTATTCTAATTCTTAGGAAATTAACATTCCGTAAGTGCGTTGATGTCTTTATTATAGACGATTTTCCTGTATCCTTTAGGGGACATATTTTTGCACCACTTTATAATATGTATGTATACAAAAGACAATTGCAAGCATGGAGCTCAAGGGTAATTTATTTATTCTTTAGTTTTTATACTAGAGACAATAATAATTCCATGTTCGTTTCGATAAATTTTAAGCGCTCTAATAAGAAAAATCTTCCTTATTACAAAACTACTAAAAGTGTTTATTCAGGTTATTTGAAAGTTTAAAAAAATACGCATCATTTATTTTAAAATGAATTGTATTACTTTATGGCATAATGAAGCCGAAATCTGTCCATGATGACTACGATGAGTTTTCTAACAGGTTCCAAATACTTATTAGGTTTCCTTATTATTTCCGTGAAGTAATATTCTTAGATAATTACGAAAAAAATCGATATGATGTTTATAAAATGGTTATATAATGGTGTTATGTAAATGATTAATATATTATAGAAATGTTTTGAGAGTAACCGGAGTGTGTAGTCTTAATGTAATGTTTAGATATTTTATTTTGCTTCCTAAATTATAGACTAGTGCATTTACTAAGTTTTTATATTGTTGCTTTCATTTTGTGGCATGTTCTACGAACGAGCCCAGCTTATAATATTAGAATATTGCGTCTTGCTTTTTACTATTGGTTTATCATACTACTACTACTACGACTGCTCCTGTAGTGGGTTCGATTTCCGGACCGGGCAACATTTTGAAGGGTTTTTCTGAGAGTAAAAACAGCCTCAGTTACTCCTTATATAGACACCTGGTGGTAAAATATTATCAAAATCGGTCCAGCCGTTTAGAAGATTACCCGGAAGAGACAGACAAAAAAAATATTAAACGGCTTAGATATCGTGCAAATAACCGTGTGGGCAAGAAAAAAACCTATTATTTTGACATAATCAAACATAGCTAAAAACACACGTCAAATTTATAACGCCCCGTCGTTTTTGCGTCAGGGGTTAAAAAAGTAGACAAATATTTTATTTCAAAATTGACTGACTCAGTATTGACTCCTGTAAACAAACTAAAATATTCGGCCTTTTGACGAAGCTTTAGTCATTTCTTATTGTATACTCGATCCATAAATTACATAATATATGTATTTTTAATGTTTTAAAAAAACATACAATAGAGACTATTGTAATACTTAATTAGTAATGACCTAATTATCAATACTGTCATCACAATACCTAAATTATTGGCAATATTGTCTAAGCTACAATAGTATTAGATGGTGAGGGACATTTTTTAAACAACTACAATAGATGATGACGGCGTACAAAATCTAAACTTAGCTTAAATTTGTATTGCCGACGAAGAATGCAAAATAATTTGTTAAAAGGCGGTAGATCTCAATAATTGGAGCTGGTTTAGGAGGTTCTTTGCTTTAGGAGGTAGTTTACTTTTTTCAGTACTAAGATTAATATTAGGAGATAATTATTACTATATTTACTATGATTACAATATGTTACACAAGTTTGATATAAAAGGAAAACGCCCACAATAGATAGCCTACGTTTGAATCTATCACGTTGTTCTTTTTTAGAAAGCCTTTGTTATTATTATCATACTGCTGTTATATTATTGCCGACGGGCCTATTGGTCTAGTGGTAACGAGCCCTGACTGCTAAGCCAGAGATCGTGGGTTCGATTCCTATCCAGGACAAATATTATGTGTAATTTTTTCTGTGTCTGGGTGTAATTTATCTCTAATATGCATGTATTAAAAAAGAGTAAAGTATGTTTATCAGCAGTCTGGTTACTATTTTACAGGCTCTGCCTAGTTTGGGTTCAGACTGCCGTGTGTGAGATGTGTGAAGTTTCTTTTATTATTAAGTTATTATTATTGTTATACTGCACAGGGATAAGAGCAGTAATCATTCAAATAAAAATATTTACATATATATTAGTTATGTATTAAAATGAATCGTTGAATTTGTTGTGTAATTTTAGTTTGTCTACATAACCGCCACGATAATGAAACAAAGAAAGTGAAGTCATTCAATTATAAAATGAATAGTGTAAATTAAATACTAGTTCTTATAGAAATGTGTTGATTGAAAATAACTTTCGCTGTCATCAATTCACAATCAAATCACCCATTAAATTTTATAAGCAAATAACATTCGAATGACATAATACATATAGGTATCATAATAGTAAATGATTTTTGACGGTTAGTAAAATTGAAATCGCTTTATTTACGAACCGAATTAAAAACAAATAAAGTTTTCCACTATCAAGCTCCTAGCTTCTCCTAGCTTTAAATTGTAGTATTGTCATCTGCACTACATATATACCCATATAGTAATGTCACGGGCCCTACGTATAATGGGTAAAAATTTCTAAGGAGAGGCTTATGTGCAGCAGTGGAATATTAAAGGTGGTCGATGATGGTGATTCGGTGGACGGGCTTTACTGGTTATTGATCTTAAGTGCGAAGTCAAAGGTTGTGGATTCGATTCCACCGAGGAAAAATGATGAGCAGGCTTATTCATGCTGTCTGTCTGTAATTTATTTATAATATGTGTGTATTTAGAAATTTACTTCAGTATGTTTATCAGAAGCCCAAAATCGATCTAAGTGGCGTGCAATGAGAGAGGCCTATGACCAGCAGTGGACTGCGATAGGCAGAATGTGATGATTTTTATCAGTACCTAGTGTGGTTACTAAATGTGTGCGATGTTGTGAGATGAGTGAAAAGTTATTATTCTTATTATTGCATATAGTTTATTTTTAAGATTTTAGTTACAAGTGAAGCTAATTAAAACGTGTTCAAAATGAACTAACATATTTTTGTATTTTGAAAATATACGAAGTTATATTTTTTATCATTATTTCAATAGCATAGTATCGTAGACCTTCCTGCAGTCAATACACTCGAATACAATACTCCTCGGTTGATAAAACAAAACTTTGATCAAGTTTTACAAATAGTCCGATGCGTAATAAGAGGATCGTTAAAAATGCATTAAGTAGTAATCTATTCGACTTTGCAAAGGTAGTTTACGTGTAAGTCTTCATGAATCATCGAGAGAAGTAACTACTACTACTAGTTACTATTGGATAGTAATGTTTACACATATTTGTATTATTCATATAATATGTAATTGTAACCCTTGTTTGGAATTATATGTAAAACTTTACATGTAGCTTTAGGTTGTTGTTTTTTATACTCGTATTTTGCATTGTTGTAACGATCACTGGTGGTATATATTTACATTTGAAAAGCAAATAAAATGTCGTATTATGTGTTTTAGAAATATTGTAGTGTTTAATCCGAGATAAGAAAGTATACATGCAAACAAGTTTTGTTAAACTTAAAATGTTAAACATAGACATGTTGTAATAGTACACACCTGTGAGAGATAACAGATAACCCGCTATCCTAGTAAGGTACACGCATACGCACACTTTGCTAATGTATTTTTACAAACGTACCTTATCTTAGCGTAAGTTCGTGTCACTCTAACTTTGTTTATGTCTAACGATATCTGCCTAAAAGTGGGGGATATAACATTGACATTTACATGTTACACATTTTCCAAATAAATAGATAAGCGTAAATACAGCCTTGAGAAATTTATAGGCAAGTAACGCTTTCTAACAGGTTAATATCAGGGTACGTTTGATATGAATATAATTGTTATCTTACCTCTGCATCTGGTGCAGATGCACGCCGTCTTCCTCGCCATAATCTATCCTCACTACCGCCGATAGCACCACAGCTTCTCGAGTGAGACTTCTGTGCAGCAAGATCAGCACCCGCAGGGGATCGCCGTGATTCACAGCCACCACCTCCTAACGTACCCCTCGAATCTGCTGCTAACAAGGCAGATTCGAAACTACCACGCCACGAAAACCTTTCACTATCACTCGCAACACTACCCCTACTCGCCGTAGCTTCCAGTATATCATGAGATCGACTTCGAGCTAAAGCTCCCGGTTCGGAAGCACTATCCTCGTCGGTACTCGGTGATGCACCGGCCGATACTTCGTGCATTAATGCTACTAATCTTCCACCTATGTGTCTCATAACTTTACCGAACATAGGAGGAGATCCCTCCCCAGCCCGACCCAGCGTCTGTGCCAGCCTTCGATATGCCCCAACGGCGTCACGTTCTAAAGAACCTGCGTCGTTACCACCTCGGTCAAACTCATCAATTATTTCTCGACAACTATCTGATATTTGTTTCCTTAGTGCAGATCGGTTAGCTGCTGTACCTTCTAAATCGGATCCAGCGTAATCAGAAGAGTCGTATGAGTCACTCCACGTGTCTTCGCTTGATAAATATTCAACAATTTCGCGTACCTCTTCATCTCTTATTCCCGGCACTGTTTTCATTAATCTTGTTAATTCGCTTTCAAAGTACAAAAGTTGAGGTGGTTTCGGGGGTCGGGAAGTTTCCGTGTTCTCGACTGATGTGGAGGTCGGGGTTGAAGTTCTAACATTAGTTGTATGTACCATTTGCTTGAAAAATTGACGCATTTTTGTCATCATCAAGTTTGTTTCCTCGTCAGACGACCAATTATTAAAGCTATCTTTACGAACTAAGGGACTTTGAGGTGGACACGAAGAAGTAGGACCCTCCACGCGTTCTTCTATGTCAGGCCGAATTTCTTCGGTAATTTCTTCTAATTCTATTTTGGGTTCATGAGCTCTAGCAAATTCAGAACTAGAGTCTCCATTTCTAAGTAAGTCGTCACAACTACCTACAAAGCCACTATCTCTACTAGTTTGTTTCTTAGATTCAGACAGTTCAGATCCTAGCGGTGGGAATTCGGGTCGGGGTGATATTCTGCCATCTTCACCTTCCGAAACAGATCTAGTATCATCACGTGTTTCTTCCGTAAACTCAGCTGATTGCCGACGCTCATCCGCAGGCGAACCACGTGGTTTTTTGTTTTGCTTTTTTCGTTTAGGCTCACCTTGCATGTCGAGCCTCTCAGACGAGTCATGCCTGTCTTCGGTTTCTGTGCTGGATCCATCTGAAACTTCTGGATTATCCTGTGTAGGTTCTTCGCCTGTTAAGAGATTGTCTAGAGATGAAGAATGAGACCGAGGCGTGCCCCGCGCCCGAACTAATCGCTTTCTCCTCTGTTCGGGACTCTGTCTCCCTTCACTATCACTCCCGACACTTCCGGAACCATCTGAATCACGTCTATGTTGATTGAAGCCCATAAACTCAGAAAGGAAGTATGTTTCTAATCGCGATGACATTAGCTCTTCATTTTCACCACTTTTTTTAGTAGGTTGTTCACTTCCCACAATAGATTCACCTCCCTCACTACACACGCTTGATGTTTCCGACACTGCATCCTCATCATCCCTAATGTTTCTTCCATCACCCAAACCAAAGAAAAAGTATTTTTCTAACTCTGTAGCTGATATAGGTCGTTGTTTTTTTATTGTTTGTTCCGTTTCGCTTTCTTCGCAACTTTCTTCGACTATGGTATGTAATGTGAAGTCTATGGAACGCCGACAGTAAGCGAAATCTTCCCCTCGTAAAGGCAGTGAAGCTTCATCCCCCGAATCCGTGTCAGATGGTGAAGTGGCCTCGTCCTCATTGTGACTGACGTCCTCGACCCACGAATCGTCGTCTGCGAGCCCCTCCTCGAGGCATACAACCGCCGAGAGAGTGTCGGCATTGCTAACAACAGTCACTCCGCCTGAAGGCTGTAGCGTTTCGTCGTCAGATATTCGTTCGTCTAATTCGTCTTGTGGCAAGCTTGGGTTAGATTCCGATTCACTTTGTGAATTAGTGTGGTGTACTATGACGTCACGCATGAGCCGCGTCGTGTCTGACGTGACAACGGAGACGCGGTCGTGCGTTATCATAACGCGGCTAGTAAAGCGCGCGGAACCGTCCGCACTGGCCGTACGCGAGCGGCAAACTGTTGTCGCGGCAGGTGCGCACGCGCCCCTCTCCTCGTCCGAACAAACCGGCCTAACGCAGCGTATTTTCTCCTCCTCTTGCTCCTCCATTAATTCTTTCTTCAATAGTTCACTGAGTGTGCGTTCAATACCTTTAAACAAGTCTATTTTTTCCGCGGGCGTCGAACTTGTATTATCATCGTGTCGTGGCTCCGGCGAAGGTGCTAATTTAGTTAATGAGTTTTGTGAATTGTTTAATGAGATTATTTTTTTATTATTCTCGTTTGTTAATTCTACTGAAAATTTTACTTTCATATCGTTATCAGTATTTAAAGGCTCCGCTAATGAATTACAGTCAGTGTTTTCAGACGATATGCTTGGATATCGATTAATATCACTATCTGAGTGATTTTTCTTATCTAAGTCATTACTACTTGAACTACAACTAGCGTTAAAACTGTTGTATTTTTCACATGTCTCACTTTGGAGCATATTTTCATCACAAAATTTAAAGAAATTCGACCTCTTAACACCGCCATCATTACTATCGTCGTCATCACTGTTGTTTTCATAGGGAATGACAGAATACTCTTCTGTAAAATTAACTGAGTCCAGAAGCACGATATTTGAGTTATCACTCCTTTTTGATATACTACCAATTGCATCCGCACTAATAATAACCTCATTACGTTGAGGTATTTCAACTACATTTATTTCTAAACTATCAGATTTCTTGTCGTAAGAGTCATCACAATCGATACCACTACTATCGGCATTGTCCTCCAAATCAGAAGACGAATCAGCTGGATTGACCACAAACACACGCGAAAACCTGCCACCACCACCCCCTCCTGAGTCGTCTGAGTCTTCATCAGATGTCGCTGGTTCTTCAGGGGCGCCACTTGTCAGATCATAGCTCCTTCTTGCTACTCCCTGTTCAGAATCGCTCGAGTTTGCCGACTCGTTAGATGACGGAAAAGCCTTTTCTGCATCTAAATGATCCGGCATTTCATTTGCGTGCTCCGATGATAACGATGACAAAGAATCCTCCTCGGCAATCACCTTGATACCGACTGACGTCTCGTTTTCAACTGGCCGTTCAATATTTTTATCAGTGTTATCGTTATCGTATGTTATCGGCGCTTCTGACGATTCGGATTGTATCGCTTTATCAGTCCTTTCAACGGTGGTCATTTCGAGTTTATTAGTTTGCGATGTTGCGGCGGCGGAGGCGGAGGCGGTGGCGGTCGCGGCGGCGGTGACGGCGACGGCTGCAGCCGTAGTGAGCCGAGCGAGGGCTGCGGCATCTAGAGGCGGAAAGCCGGGATATGTGTTCCAGTGTGGCGCTGGTGGGGCTTGCGTTGGGAATGCGAGTAGGGCTGGCCAGAGAGCAGCAGGCACAGGAACTGGTACGGGGACTGGGACTGCTACTATGCGGGGCTCGGCGCCACAAGAGCACGGCCGCGGGCAAGGCTGTGCCTCGTGTTTTGTGGGTGGAGGTAGAGGGTGCGCCGCCGACGCGCCCGGCTCGAAGTAGTCCCAGTCACAATCGTCGGGCGCGGGCGGCGCGGCTGAAGAGGATGTGGACGATGAGTCTTCGGTGTCTTCCCGACACGAAGAGTCGGAACTGAGGAAAACGAGGCGATAGTCTTCGGGACGCATGCGACCGGCCTCCGGTTCGCTTGCCTCGCCTGGTTCACAGTTGACGCCCCACTCTGAAATATATAATATTATTTAATAACTTATGATGTATTATTATAATTATATAATTTAGGTCAAATCTTTTAAAGATTCGAATAAGATTCAGGACAATCATCATTTCGTTTGTCCAGAAATTGTCGTTAGTCGTAATAAAACACGTTATACAGGTAACCTAAAACCTGTTCTAAATCTTGTATAGAAGACATACACTAACCTGTTGTACAAGTGTGTATATTATTATGCGAGTTTCATTTATTCAAGACGGCACTTGAAACACTAAGAAACGCCTCTAGTTTTTTCACGAGCAACAAGTCATTGCTAAGTAACATGATGTGCGAGAGATGGTTGTTTTGCTGTTATATGGCGTGTAGGCGCAACATAGAAAAATATCTAGAGAATGATTTCATGTTGTTACTGTTACACTGCAAGGTATAAAGCTATGTTTAAAGAACATATAAATAAATTTCTGTGCCCGATTTTGTTCTGAGATTGCAATAATTTTAATGCTAAATTCGTAGTAAGCACTGTGTATATGTTTGTTACGCCTGTACTCTGAAGACCTGTCATGAGTGGAAACGTGCTATAACCAAAGTCAGCCGCTGTATTTGAATCAAGAATTGACATTCTTGATAACAAATAACATATTTCCAGGTCAAAGTAGTCAGAGAGAGATTTTAAACCTTATAAACCTTTAAACTATATTTCGCTGTACTTGGATATCACAACGTTAAGTCTAACAACTAAAAACTTTAAATATATTGCTTTTCCACGTGGTGCAATTGGAATTAGAACTGTTTCCTAAAACCTACAAATGTCTTTAATGAATATAATTCAAATTACTCTCCACGCCCTTAGTAAAATTTCCCATTTAGGATTACAAAAGAGCTGATGATCTTCGAACCAAACAGGTTTTCTCGAATTAATCTCTCGATTACATCACCTATCAAACAAACAAAAAAGTAATTACAAATCAGTACATCCGTTTAGGAGATATGATGCCGGAGACAGACATACTTTGTCGAGAATAACGTGTGTACCACACGCTTAAGTTATTAAGTTAATACAATGTTTTAATATTAATAACCTCACACATCTTACACACGGCTGTCTGATCGGAAACTAGGCAGAGCCTGTACTATGGTAACCAGACTGCTGATAAACATACTTATATATCTCTAAATACATACATATTATAGATAAATTACACCCAGACACAGAACAAATGATCGTGCTTATCACACAAATATTTGTCCTGGGTGGGAATCGAACCCACGGCTGCATGGCTTAGCAGTCAGGGTCACTAACCACTTGACCAACAGGTTCCGTCAAATGATAATTTATTTACGAGTAAAGAACCGTTATAAATAAATGATCAAAGTCTTAACTTGAGAGTAGTTTATTGTTGTATTAAAATTTTATAAAAACAAATTAAACCGCTTAAAAATAAGAAACACTCAAAATAGCAAAGCAATAAAAACGAATCTAAAGTTAAGCAGCTAAAACTCACTAAGTTTGAATCGGTATAGAAATATTAGAATTGAAAAGAATTGATTCTTTGATTTCACTGCATGTAAATAATAAATTATTAATTTCCATATCCTATTAACTTTTACTAGTTTCATTTTTTAGCGAAAAGCAATAATAAGTGGGTACATTGTACCGTTTGTTTCAATGGAGAATAATAAAAACTTGAGTGGATTTTAATGCTAATCTTTAAGAAAGCAATTAAAAATAAACCTTCATTGTATGTAATATCAAATATATTTAGTTTTGAATGTTTTAAAACCTTTTTGGTATGGACAATTTAAAGGGAATTCCTTTAAACACAATTCAAGTATACTAAATTAATATAAGTCTTTGAGACTTAATGTCTATGAACTCTATAATATTTAATAAATAATGGCGAACGGAAATGGGTGTCACTCTTAAAAAACTTGGTAAATTTGTTAACAAACTTTTGAAGACCCGTACTCTTATCTAAATAATCTTGTATAAATTGAAACTCAATTTTTTGCTGTCTTTTTCATTGCAATGATTATTTGGATTTTTTTACATCCTTCGCACTAGGAATACATCCTGTGTTCCAGGAGACATTATAAAAATTTATGAGACTGACACAAAGAACACCTAGGCTCAGAAAAACAATTTGTAGATCACATAATGTGTTATCCCATGTAAGGATCGAACCCACAAATATCAGGCCAGTACGAGCGAGGAGACCGCTTAAACGGCTTAAACATTACGCCATCAATAAATAAGATACTTATAGAAATAAATAAATAAGTACTGCGTTGAATATATTGCTAACTCAGTGCTAATTAGTATTAATCATTCCACCTCTTTTCTTAATTATATGAGGCTCTAAGGTAACTCCACAAGTAATGACAGATTGTCAGGTTATTGCGTGTAAACTCATTAGGAATATGTTCCCTCAGCTGACTCCTGACCCCTTGACTAACAAACTTCGATACCTGTAACTGTATACTGGTATACCCGTTAAGTGTGAATAATAATAATTCGTACCAATTACTGCATAACTGACGTTCTAGTAAAGGAAGTCATTATGAGTGCTATCATTAATAGGATTAAATAAAAATACTTTGGAATATCTAAAAATGGAATGGTAATATTTTTTTCGTTTAGAGGGTTCGGCCCATTAAATAGCCTGTCTGTCTGTTACCTCTTAATGCTTAAACCGCTGAACCGATTTAGATAACATTTGGTATGGAGATGGTCCGAGTCTAAAGAACATAGGGTGGTTTTCATCCTATAAATATACTTTAAGGAGGTGAAAAGGAGGGTGAAGATTTGTATGGGGAATCAATAACCGCTAAACCGATTTAGATGTTTGGTATGGAGATACTTTGATTCTTGAGGAAAGTACTTTTTAACATTTTCGCGAGCTTAGCCTCGGGCAAAAGCTAGTGAACAATATTTCCTTCCCACTCTAAATTTCTTCATCAATTCCATAAACGCCCGGCTGACGATAATAGTTCACAAAATGTAATATACAACATACTTCATTTTATTTATTGAGCAATGTAAACAATATTTATGTTATTCAAAATCTAACCATAACACTTTAAAGTACATAAAAGTAAGACTTATGTATATTTTTTCTTATTGTTACTGAAACGAACGTTCCTTACAGCGCGTTATACGATCTGAGCGGATGGAAGCAATACCGAAAAATGTGTAACAAGACTTTTTTCCGACACTTCTTGCTATACTTCGTTCCGACCGTTCGTTCCATAGACCTCTCACGCCGTTTTTTTTTAGCACTTTCATTATTCGTTTCATATCAACAGTAAATCAGAAAAAGGAAATCTAATAATGTAAAATTCTATTTGGCATGCTAAAAAATGATAAAGATCTTTATTTATATTATCAATAAGGGGGTTTATATCTCAGCAAATTTAAGACACTCTTTGGTAGATATTGATTTAAATTCCTGCACGCAAGATATCACGATCTAAATAGCAGATGAAATACGAATACTGAGCAATTACTTCAGTAACATTGTGATTTAAAACTAAGTATAATGTTTTTAACGTTGGATAAAATATATAGTATAAATTAAAAGAACTGTGAATAAAGACACGATACGCCGTAATTGGTATTGTGTTAAAAACACACACATATATTTATACCAAAAACGTGTTTTTGAAACATTTTATTTGTCTATCTGTCCATCCGTTTGTCTGCCTGTGTCTTTGTTTATTTCCACGGAAAGCATTAAAGCGATGCCACTGTGGGTACAGCTATTTTTAAACCATGTTCTGATTTTTGAATGAGATGGCATTGATTTCTATTTGTGTGAGTACGAATACACTACACGTGTGCTCACATGAGATTATGTACATATAATTGTTTAGGAATATTCAACACGCTACTAGACTTTAAAGTAACATAGATGCACATGATGTGAATGTAATCACATCTAATACTGGTAGCAATGGGAGGTTTACACACGCAACGGTTCTATTGTGATGTAGGTGATATAATATGTATAGATATAAATTACAATACAATAATCTCAATGTAGATCTGTCCATGAGAATGAATAAAGAAACTTAAGGTTTTTTTTTCAATAATTATTAGAGTTAATAAGCGTCGCTTGTGTTATGCTAACACCTTACGTGGTACATATTACAATGGCCTCTGAGTTATCGTCAATAGTTAATATAAAATACCAAAGGGATATACTTAATAAAAGACGAAAATATATTTTATTTATTTAGTTATGAAAATAGTTTATGTGTTTACATAATTTACCATAAAGGTTCATAGCGCAGAAGTGCGCAGAAACTGAACGCTTCTCTTTATCTATGCTTCTGTACCTACTTAAACTTTTCATGAGTTTTGAAATAAGAATATGAGACTATTTTTTGTATGTATATGTTATGTTATGTACTCGTATATGTTAAAATAGTTTTACAGACATTTGTGTAGTATTAATTTATGTGAAATAAAAGTATAACAATAATAAGAAACTAGAACTATACACTTATTTCTAATCAATAAACAATTTCTGATAAATTAAATCACTGGTATTAATTTTAAATCGAATTGTTGATATTTTGAGGTACACTAATCGGTTGTTTACCAAAAAGATAAGAATTGGACACTACTACAGACAACACAAAACACAACAATATGACTGTATTGATATTGTTGTGTTGTCTGTAGTAGTTGACTGTTACATATTCAATGAATTAGATTGACGCTGTGATAGTCACACATTAAAATTACTTAATTAATATTAATATTATGCGTTCTTCAATTCGTTTTCCTTACATGGATAAGGAGGTGACATATTCGATTATAATGAATTGAAATACTTAGAACATTTACGTCTAGATGGAGTGCACTACGAAACTATAAAAACAAACGGACCAATGTGTAAATCCGTGTAAATGTAATGTAACTGTAACCACAACAACACATCTGACACATGCAGCGACAGCGGAAGGTAAATTGAAGGCCAACAGTTGGACACTATTACTTTCGACGCTTTTACAGTTTTGACAGTCTGCCTAATTATATCAATGTTTTAAGAAAATGCTTTAGAACTTAGAATATCAGCCTCATGTATGCTGGCATGCGTATATAAAAACTAGAATTGTTAATTTGTGACGTTTTTATAACATTTCAAAGAACCATAGATACCACAACTCCACATTTTAATGTTTAACTTGACTCCTTTAGTTGTTAGTTCTCACTATTTTGTGGCGTAACGGACGCACCGTGATGATTGTAATTTTCACACGCTTATTTTGAATACCACACAACAGCAGCTAAACTAGTTTATTGTGCAAAAAAAGTTACGTGAAACTAACAACGTGTCTATAGTTTATTATTTATCATCACTTCGTCACGTGGAGTCTATTTATGCAAAATAATTGAAAATTAGTTGAAAAAAATTATTCAAGAATCATCGTAATTGAATAAAGGCTTCTTAAACCAGCAAATTAAAAAAGAAACCCGACTACGTTAAAATGTATAGGTACTTAAAACTTATAAAGTGGTGATTAAAATTTTTATCATTTTGATATAGGTACTCAGTGTCACTCACAATTAAAACGAATCTAATGACAACTCTCGAGTCAAAATCCATTAAGTCGTTTAGAGTACAGAACGTGGTAAAGAAATATACATTACACTCGAAACGCACTCGAAACACTGCTTCTGGCGTAGTTGGGTATAAAGAGGTTCGGTTAGAGAGTTTACGGCAATGGTCAATCCGAATTACAGGTATGCTACCCTGACTTAGGCTGAAATTTATAAAGCGTACTTAGACTTTGCTCAGACTTTGCTTACGCTAAACTTACCTAAGTTCCTGCTCAGTGTAATCTTAGCATTCGAATTTATAGTCCTCTTGGGCTAAGAATTTACTGAGTGTATGCTAAGCAAGAGCTCAGGAAAATTTTTTAAACGTTTCGATTTGCATAGCATATTAATTTAAATTCTTGGTATTTCAAAAATATATTATTTTTAAAATAGCTGTAATAACCTAAAATATTAGTAATCTTATAAATTTTATCATATTATTGTATTTCAATCAATTAACACCTTTAGTTTTCATTGATTTTAAGTGATAAAAGGCAAAAATAACACATGTACAAGTAAAACAAAACGTACGTATATTTGACTTGTCAAATGTCATAACAATATTTGAGGTTGTCTCGTCTCGAGTTCATTCGCAAATATATCAATTTCTTGTATTAACTATTTATCTTGACCCTGGCACACCCTTACGGACTTCTGTTACAACGCTTTCGAACTAGATTACGGCTTTTCTTCCTGGACAATCGAACCATCTTTTCACATTGACTCTGGCATATTTCACGGACTTTATATACTTTTCTTGCGGATTTGGTTTTGGTTAACGATGGAGAACATCGATAGAATTGAAAATGTTCTGTCTAGAATAGATAGAATCGGCACATCGGCACTGGATAATGTTCGTATGCCTAAAGCTTATATTCGCCATGAATATAATCAAGATCCATATAATTTGTGCGACGATCAATTTAAAAAAAGATATCGATTTACAAAAAATACGGTGAAAAATGTTATTTTGCCACTAATTGCTGACAAACTGAACCACTATGATAATAGAGGATTGCCAATAACACCAGAAATACAAATACTCATTGCATTAAGGTTCTATGCTACTGGAACTTATCAGGTACGATTTTATAGTTGTCTCATTTTATACTAGATTCGTAAGACTGTACACTTACTCCATAGATCTTTACCTCAATCAGATCATGTCATACCACCTGGCATGACCGTTAACTTTTTTCTTGTGTCTTTAGTAGGTTAGAGCCCCGTGGTGTTACCCACGGTACAACAACAACCACAGATATATAACCTATTTTACTCGGGGATGATTTAGCTTTCTAATGGTGAAAAAATATTGTAATCAGTTCAGTAGTTCCGGAGCCTATTCAAAGCAAACAAACAATCAAATCTTTCCTCTTTGTAATATTCATTTCTATATATTCATTAATATATAGATAAAAATAAATCAGCTTTCTTTTTAGATTCTTTTAGAATGTTTACTATTTTTCCCCACAGTTTTGCATCAAATCAGTATAGGAGCAATAAGTCCTAGCTATATGAAATTTATTTCTTGGTCTATTGTCTGTCCCAGTAGTATTTTTAAATAACTTTTCTGTTTCAGACTGTTTGTGGAGATTTATTAGGCTTGAGCCAATCTACAGTGTGCATCATCATAAATAAAGTTTCCAGAGCATTAAGTCAACTTTTACCACAATTTATTAAATTCCCAAACCAGCTACAAAATGTCAAACAAAAATTTGAAGAGTTGGGTAGAACCAACCAACTACATGGACTTAATAATATAATTGGAGCAATAGATTGCACCCACATTAAAATAAATAGACCAAGAGGTATAGCTCACTCTGAAGCATACAGAAATAGAAAATCTTATTTTTCCGTTAATGTCCAAGCCGTTGTAGGTCCTGATATGGAAATTTATGACCTTGTTGCACGATGGCCTGGAAGCGCTCATGATAGTCGGATATTTAGAAATAGCCGTGTTCATGCACGTTTGGCTAGTGGACAATTGCAGGGAGTCTTGGTGGGTGATAGTGGATACCCATCCATGCCATTTATTTTAACACCCTTGATACAACCAACAACACGTGCGGAAAATAATTACAATTATGTACAAATAAGGACAAGGAACATAATAGAAAGATTTTTTGGTGTCTGGAAGAAAAGGTTCTCATGTCTGCAATTGGGCCTCAGAAACAAATTAACAAATGTGTGCAATATAATTGTTGCTTGTGCAGTGCTTCACAATATTGCAATAAGAAGCAGAGACAATTACTCCATTGTAGAAGAAGATGCACAGCAAATTGATGAAGTGCAGTTAAATTCAAGAATGTCATCAGCTGCAGGATTAGCTTTTCGACAATCCATCGTAGAAACTTATAATTGATAAAGAAATAAAAATCATAATATTAAGTTCTTAGTTTTTATTTAATTCTTTCTTCAACAAATCTCTTTTTAATTTTAATATTTCCAGTTCTACTGCATGTTTTTCCTGATCTTGCTCTATCTGTTTAGTAACTTTTTCAATTTCTTTTTTCACAAGTTCCTTTTTTAAATCCTCCAGAGATTGTTCCGGTTTTTTTTTCTTTGCTGGAGCTGGTGCTAGTTCCGGGGTTGTGGGCATTGTAAGCCCCTGGAGAGAACAACCCGGTAGAGTATTAAGATCTTGTACCTCTTCTCCGAAGACATGAACTTCCATGTCCATCATTCTATTTTTTTTGTTTTGCCAGTAAACACCGTCATCATCATTTGTTTCACCTGAAACCAAATAAGATATCATTACTTACAAATAACTAGATGCTGTATGTGTATGTATATGTAATTAAAACAAAGTTGTTAGTACTACATATTTATAACTGATGCATGGCTAGACAAATCTTACTGAAATTTGGCACAGCTAGATTATAGTCTGGAACATCACATAGGCTATGTTTCACCCCACATGAACAAGAAATACCCACACCAACGGGAATATCTAGAATGTTACAATGCCTGGACATTTAATTTATAGTAACAAAATGAACAACTAATAAATATAAATTATTAGTGAGTACTTACTAAATTTCGAGGTGCTTGATTGGATTATATCACTATCTATCTCAACTTCAATTGTTGGCATTACAGTTGGTAATATAGAAAGGACCTGGGTCTCTTCGGATCCTATAGGCGGAGGTGCAGGTCCACCACCAGTCCATTTTTTTTGGGCTTCTAAAGTTTTAGCATCTCTGGCCTTCGTTTTTAGATTTTGCCACATTTTTTTAAGTTGAGCAGCATTCGCCTAAAAATAAAACAGATAATGTAAAGAGAGAATGAGGTTATTAAAATCCCAAGTAGGTGGATATGTTATTTACTACTTTATTCTCTAGAATTTTAACTTACTCGCTGGGATACGTTAGGCGAGTTATTGTAGTGGCATGCAATATCCTCCCAGGCTTCTGTCTTCTTTTTTTGGGATGTACCATCGGTCTTGCGATTCTCCACTATGTCCATTTTCGTCGTCACCAACTGCATAAGCAGTTGTTTTTCGAATTCACTGTAGGGCTTCTGTTTTTTTTTCTTATCGTCGGTGTTCATGACAATAGTAATCGGTGTCCGTAGATGAGCAAAAAAGGGTCGTCGTGAAAGCAGGTACTAGTCCGAGGGAATACAAGGGTCGTCGTGAGAGCAGGTACAAAATCCGAGTTAATGCAAAAGGTCCAAAAGTATAAAAGAGTTCAAGCGCAGAAAACACCACGAAGCGAAAACAAAGATTCAACAGACAATGAGAGTTTATGAGACCACATACAATGACAAAACAAAAAATCCATAGATTACCATTGATAGATTGTTGTTTACAATAGAATTCCATTGTCTTTCGTGCTAATATTAAAATAATTTAATTTTAAGGCTTTTCAGAGCATCTCCAACTACTAATGAGCACGTAAGTAATCGCTAAGTCATGGATTTTGGTGACTTAGACTATGCTAAGCATTTGCTCAGCTTGAGCTAAGCATTATGACTATAAATTTCAACGCACACTTAACTCGTGAGGTAAGTCTGAGCAAAGTCTAAGTACGCTTTATAAATTTCAGCCTTACATTACCTAATCCATCCGTACGAATAGGTAATATCCCTTTTCGACTATTACCCTCCCTTATAAGTTACCTATTTTTCAATACACTCCCAACTATCCACTCTAGTCTATAAAGTACTTGGTTAAGGACTATAGGCTTGTCGCCTATTACTTGAATGGGACTTAATTTTAACAACATTTTGTCACTATAAATTTAGTCCTCCTGGCAAAATCTAGGCATCTAATTAACCTCTGCCTTCGCCTTTAGGAAAAGGCGAGAGGGTACTTATATACCAGTGTATATAATAGGTGAACTAATAAATAAATAAATGTATATTTAGTAAATAAACAATACAAATAGACGGGCATATGAGTATCCCACAATTTTTTTTTTGCGTCATGTACAGTTATTTACGCACCCAATATACGATCACAGTTTTTGATCACTAAATTAACCATGTGCTTACTAAACGTGTTGATGTGATGATGTGATAGTGTTAACTAGAAAAACAGGGTTATTAGGTGCATTACTATACTATACTACTGCAAGTGGCATCCTTCATGATAACCTTCTGAATTTGTAATATACTTCTGGATAAAAAAGTTTCTTATCATATCATCTTATCATTTCTTATCATTTATTTTACATCTTTGACAGCATATTGCTACTATCAATTATGAATCTGTTAATACAGAATCTACAATTAATTTACAGGTTATCATAAACTGTAAACAGAAACCTTAATGATTAGATGAAGCATAATGCGTGATGCATTTCTTTCCAATTAACTGTTTGTTTATTTATCTTGTCTCTATTTATTGTGTGTTTTAATTTATATACACTTAAAGAAGTCAGACTAGTTTTGGGTCTAACTTAATCATCGATTGGTGAAGTAATAGTCGTATTGGTTTTAGACTAGTGTGATCTAAAACTAGTCTGGATTTGCCAAAATATATAGAGTAGTTTCGATTATCCGAGCTAATTGATTCGTAAGGAATTCAGGTAATCATAAATTCTGATAATCGAATAATGAATAAAAACAATTATATAAAATTTTATATAAATAAAAATTTTACACAGGCCCAGATAATGTAAAGAGCTAAAAAGCTTGTATTATAAAATCGACTTTAGTTTGTTAACGCAAGATTGAATAGAGAACAATCGTGTATACTCGTACATCATAGAGCAAAGCAATTATAGTAATTATATACTTAATTGGACTGATTTCTCTGCGTAATTTGTTGCTTCGCTGATCATTGAAGAAAGTGACAATTCTAGACGATGATTAAACAACGTCTTTTAAACTTTAATAGAACGTGCTGTTGAAGATTTCCGTAATTTCATCTTGGACTTTTTTACAAACAAATCCAGTATAGCTATGAAGTCTGTAGTATTTGATAGGCAATTTCTATATTTACGTAGAAAGAATATATAATATATACGAAGTAGTTTATATTTTTAGAAACTTAAGTGTTCATGAATTTAACATGGATTAAAAGTAAAGAAAAAAATATATTCCTTTATTTGAGACTTGGTTGTAACGGAAATACTAAGTTGTAAATTCATTAAATATAAATAGATTAGCTATCTTATTAGAATACTTCACAGAAAGATTTTAACAAGCGTTAAAGTAATACGTTGGATAGCAACTACTTACAAATCAAGAATCACAATAACCAGCTTTTGAGTGCCCCACCAGAATATGAGGTAGGGGGGTTGAGCTATCTGTAGCCTCACTCACTCACTCTGTAGTATCAAAAGAGTTTCTTAACATCGACAAGTTATTGTAATTTGGATGTTCTCTACAAAAATGCTGTTTTGAAAGGCGTTTATCACCAAACACTTGCATATATTATGTTCAGTAATGAATTATTTATTTATTTTTATTTACAACTTTATGCACTTTTGTATATCGGCGGACTTAATGCCATGGGCATTCTCTACCAGCCGACCTTTGGGTGGTGTAGAAATCTGGTGAGGTAGGTGCACTGAGGTTACATATGTAAGAGTAGTTTTAAAGTTTTTACTAGTACTAGTTTGTACTAGTTAAACTAACAAATACAATTACACACATACATACACACATATACATACATATATAAATACATATACTTTATATTCGTTCACTTTAAATAGGGAGGTGTACTATTGAATAGGTAATTCCGTCAACTCGAGAAGGTAGTTCTGTACATTATTTTTAAATGTGAAACGGTTTGTGGACATCCTGATGTCAAGTTTGAGCGCATTCCAGAGCAGTACTACTCGCATAAAGAACGAAGAGTCCACGAATTACCTAACGTATTTTTTATATATTAAAATAACGGTTAGAATTCGCCTTAATAAAATATTGCTGTTTTGAAAGGCGTTTATCAACAAACAATTGTCATGTATATATCAGGTACAGTAATGAATTACCTAAAATATTTTTTATATAATAAAATAACAGTTATAATTCTTCTTAACAATATTGTCTATTACTAATAGTCGAATTCAAGGTACCGCACCGAGGCCATTCTACATGTTGTACACCCAAATGCCATATTTTGGCCGACCTCATTGTAATCAAAAGGAACATTGAGTCGGACAATGAAAGTAAGAGACTGCACACGTTGGCGCCTACTCAAGGCTTTGATTGCCTAACTCGAACGCACGTGGGATGAGAGGAGGTAGCAAGGTAAACCGAATCGTATTTCTCCTTATAAAAATTAAAAACGTTTGCCAATATAAATAATAACTAGACACATCTTATACATGACTGTCTGACTGTCTCACACTAGAACACACTGCTGATAAACATACCTATTCATCATCATTCATTAACAGCCGTTACTAGTCCACTGCTGGACATATGCCCCTTCTTAGAAAGGAGGGTTTGGCCTACTATACATACCTATATTTTTAAAAATATTTACACGAATTACACCCAGACACAGAACAAATGATGGTGCTCATCGTACAATATTTGTTTTGAGGGCTTCATCACCAACGCCGTAGATGGCCCAAGGTACGTCGGGGTACCAGAGATTTCGTCTCTAGTGTAAACCTGGGTCCCCGCCAACTGGTTTCCGAGACAGCTTGCGCTTTTTGGTCGGTTCGAATCGGACAGAACCACCCTTCCGGTGGGTGGTATCCGAGGGAATTTCCGCACAGCAAAAAATAAATAAATAACAAAAGGTGGAAATGGAACCGACAGCCTTTGGCTTAGCAGTCAGATTTGCTAACCACTAAGTCAACAGGCCAGTAGAATAAGAATATAAGTTATGTGTTGCCAGATGTTGCTGTAATTCCAGATCTTTTAGTGGGTAGCTATGTGAAGTAACATTGTTTACAGGATAACTTCCATTATTATCATTTTTTTACTGCCCTTGTTTTAACAATTTTATTTATCACAATGTGTAATATTGCAAAAGGGGTTTGGCTTGTTTCTTTGATGGCCGGCCACCTGCCTGATGCCAACCGTCCTTGAGAATGTAATCGTTTGTAGACTGGATAAAGGTAAAAGTAAATTGGGCCTACCGCAATCTACTTTAATGAAGAAAAACTAAATTTTTATCGAAGTGTTACATTCAAAACTATATGCAAAAACCCTGTTAAATATACAAAGGGTGTTAAACTATGCGAATTCTGTAGGAATAGACCTAATATCAATTTACTAAATAAATATCTTAATTTTTGTTTTGTTCACCATTTATGACCAGTGTAAGTATTTGGTATTAATTTGGTACGCCTTTGTATTCTTACATTAAAGGACCTCGAAGTCGAACTGTATCAGCATAATTGTATCGATAATCAGATGAATCTCTAAGGACTTGATTTTTATTTTTGATATGAAAACCCTAGAAATGGCAAATTAAGGATTAAAGGATTTATGAGTACGTCATTCTGGAAGTACAACTTTGTGTACGTTTAACGAATTATATGTGATTTTACGTGAACGAAGAAAATGTACTTTTCCATCACTTTTCCATTGTACATAATATGTAACGGATGACGTGGTACGATGAATGGTACGTGGATTTTATTAAAATGCTTGACGTCTTTAATCGCGGGGATAATTTAAGGAAAATCCTTATTTAACCTTAACCAGTTAATGATGTACTGATATGACTCATATTAAAGAATATAAAAGCTTTCGAACCAGGCCTAAGGTCTGAACAGATGAAGCTGGCATTAAAACAATAAGGCAAGCTATCACTCTTACGATCTTTAGAATTCTTTAATTAACTTTTAAATACGGAGTGTCACCGTCCCTGTTCATCCCGTGGGTGTCGTAAGAGTCGAATTAGGAAGCAAACTACGCAGTACAACAGCACTGCAAAAGAGAATGAAAACTTGAAACAAACCCTATACTAAACCGTCCGGCCGGTATGGTAGGCCAAACTTTTCTTTCTAAGGAGAGGTCTATGTCCAGAAGTGGACTATTAAAAGTATGACTAT